AACCTTTTTTTGCACCAATATCTTCAATATTTAGGTTTCCAATTGGGGGCCACCCTTACACAACTTATAATTTTCCCTATTGAAAAGTCTATGCACAAATTATTTTTTTAAACTTTTTTCGTGCTAGAATTTTTTTTTCTGTTTCCCCTGCTCGATTTCTATTTTTGCTTTTGCCCCCCCCCCCATCACTTTTCTAATGGTCCGCCCCTAATGGTTGAAAGGCTCATCATTGGTGCCCATGTGATCATAGTCAAGGTTATGTTTCGATACAGACATAATAGACCTCATACATGATCTATGTTTTTGTCTTGGTTTTTGCAAAAAATGGTTGGCTCATTGTCACATGTGTATTATTAGAGAGTTTAAGTTCGACTTCCAATATCAGTCACCACTACCGAAGTCGGCCTTGTATTGGAAGTCGTGGGAATTGTAAGATAAACTCAAATAAATCCTGTAAACTATTTGTTTATTGGTATCGCCTGAGTCATGTTTTAGTCGGAATTTTAGCTCTGCTGCTACACATTTTCGGTGACAATTAATGTGTTCTATACGTTATCAGTCATGATAGCTTAAGGCTTTAAAATTCCCAGTATGAAAATGAGAATGGAAGTGAAGACATCGGTATCGGTATTGTAAGTCGAACTTAAACTCTATTGTTTTCATGGGGTAATGCCTTAAGGGAGAGTTACCAACCGGAGAGTTATCTTGGAGAGTTATGATTTCGGAGAGTTATGTTCGAACCACACCCACTTTTCTCAACAACCACACCCAATTTTTTAACTCTCCCGACGTTCCCTCGAACTAACATATGAGAGTTATGTTTGACGCAACTCTCTCTCGTTAACGTTATGAAGATGTTAGAGAGTTATCATTTTTTATAACTCTCCCGTGTTCACGATTATGGCAATGAATAGAGTTAATTCAGTTTTTTAAGGGAGAGTTACCAACCGGAGAGTTATGATTTCGGAGAGTTATGTTCAAACTACACCCACTTTTCTCAACAACCACACCCAATTTTTTAACTCTCCCGACGTTTCCTCGAACTAACATATGAGAGTTATGTTTGACGCAACTCTCTCTCGTTAACGTTATGAAGATGTTAGAGAGTTATCATTATTATAACATTATTTTATAACTCTCCGTGTTCACGATTATGGCAATGCATGAATAGAGTTAATTCAGTTTTTTAAGAAAGCCTTAGTTAGTAAAGCTCGTTTCTTCAGATTTTGATCTTATTTTTTTGTATTTCAGTTTGTAGCGTGTCAATAAAGAAAGATAAGATTTTTTTTTTTTTTTAGAATGCGTCCAAACAGGAAATGCAACTTGACTCAGTCAAAGGGCCAATTAGTACCCCCAGAAGCATGTTTTGACGTGTATTTGGCAGTAAATACGGCAAGCATAGTTGCAAGAAAATTAAGAAAATTGAATCTTTCAGCAATTCAGGCCAATAGGGCATTACATTGGAAAGATTCTCTAGTTCTATCTAATATGTATCTGAATGCTGCTCTTGCTAGATAATCCAAGTGAGCATGTATATTTATATAAACATTTACATACATATACTGTAGATGAACTTGGTAAGTACTAAAGTAGGGTGATGCGGTTTCGTAAAATAACTGAAACCGAGAATCGTCACAAAATAACCGAGATAACGGACTCTTTTAATCAATGAAATTATTTTGGCAAAAATAAACAACATGTCTTGTGTGTTATCCACGTGACGTCCGCCTTTCTCTTAGCTAATCAAACCGGAAGCTTTACTGTAAGCTTGTTTTGATCCGCTTTTAATCCGCCATTTGAGTCGCAGCGCTTTTCTAGGCTTCTAGCATTGATTTAAATCGCGTAATCACCAAAGAGTATAACATAGCTTGCTTATAGTTTTATGTTGATCACATGTAGTACGCTTGTTTGTCTTTTTGAATTTTATATTTCGAATCGGTTTTTCGGTTAGTCGGTTATCTGATATTTAGAAGACTCGTGAAACCGATCTGTAAAAATAACCGATTCATCTCGGTTAACCGAATAACTGCATCACCCTATACTAAAGTACTATTAGTTTCTACTAGCATAAAATGTTGACACTTGTAAATTTAGTAAAATGTACTAATATGTGGAAGGTTTTCTCAAAAAACTGACTTATAACTCTCTTCATTGCCACATGCAATCGTGAACGCGGAGAGTTATAATACTAAGTAATAACTAACATTTTCATAATGTTAACGAGAGAGAGTTGTGTAAAACATAACTCTCTCATGTTAGTTCAAGGAAACGTCAGGAGAGTTAAAATTGGGTGTGGTTGTTGGGAAAAGTGGGTGTGGTTTTAACATAACTCTCCGAAATCATAACTCTCCGAGATAGTCAGTAACTCGCCACTTCATAACTCTCTGTTTAGCCGGTCCTGTTTTCTTGCCCAACCAACCAATAACAGCATTTTGGTTTAATTACCCAGTTGTGATATTACACAATGGTTAAATGAAAACATAAGTATTGCCATTTGCGTTCAAGCTTGAAGTGTGCAAAATTTTTCATGTTTGTTTATGTTTTAAACGCATTGTTCCAGGGGGTAATCACGCCCTTTTGGCCAATGAAACTGGTCATTTGAACCATGCAACAGTTATTATTTGTTACATAATATGTCATGTAATATAAATGTTTGAATTCCAATGACGTTTGTACATTTTTGGGCTGTAAATCACTATTAAAAAACTCATTAATAATTCATGAAGAAAACACAAAGAAAAATCTTAAGCGTGTCATATCTGTATATGTGATACAGATTCATGTCGATTTACATAAATTTTAACTTTGATTTTCTCGGCTTAGACAACATTTATTTTTAAAATTACTTCGCCAATGAACTCATAAGATGAGTCGTTTTTTAAGTTGTTTACAACATTCGCGTCTGTGTTGTATCGGATATAAAAAACTCTCGCCTTCAGCTCGCCTTGCCCTCGACTCAACACGGCCGCTCATGTTGTAAACATTACAAATTCAGCTACAAAATGTAAATAATTGATTGTATAGTATTTAGAATCACGAGAATACAAGAATAAAAGTATATTCTTGCTTCCACAATCAATAGTTTTATATTTTCAAACGATTCAATTTTGTCAGCCAAACGGGCGTGATATCCTTTGAAACGTTACGTTTGAAACGTAAATAAACCTGAACATTTTTGCACACTTCAACCTTGAACGCAATGGCAGTAGCTTTTGGTTGCTTTAGCAAAAATGTGACGTACACATGTGACGATGAACCGATCAGTTCTTGCATAAACCAAGACAAAAACATGTAGATAATGAAGTCCATAATATGTCTGCATCAAGTTTCCTAACTTTCTTATTCTATTGCCCATGTGAACAGTCTTTACAACTACATAAGCCAAGTGGGTGAAGCCTGCAAAGGCATACCGTAAACCTCCGACTATATTCTTATATTCTTTCATTGACACAAAGGGGAGGGCATATATACGGGGCTTATACATGGACAATCTTTCGTGTTTATTAGTGTACTGTAATAGTGATAAACAAGTATAGTAATAGTGATAAACAAGTGTTTAAAGCATAGTAATAATAGTGATTAATAGTGATAAACAAATGGGCTTATATTTGGAATGAGGCGAGCGTTGTGGTGGGCTTTACAGTACACAGGGGAGCTTATATTCGGAGGTTTACGGTATACAAAATCACATTACAAATTGCAGAAGAATATATTATATATACCTTGTGTAATGATGGTGTTTTCCTGAGCAACTACTTTATGCAAACTAGACAGTATTCTTCATTCCCATGGTTAGTGTCTTGGTACTGTTGGATGTGGTTTGACAGATTCTTGCATCCCAACTTGGCACATTCAATAAAATCCGATGCTGCTGATAGGTTATCTTCCTTTAGGGTTTCCAACACTGTCAAGACTGTGGCGATGTGGATGGAATATTGTCTCTGGTGCTGCATCTGTTGTGACTTAACAATCTTCCAAATTTGGAACAAACAGAATTAGTTGATCAATGCTCATAGTTTGCAAATGAATGAGTTAAAGTCTACAATGCAGATTAGTAATCACTGTGGTTTTGTCTCTGTTGTGCACTGATTATTGGTTCTAGTGCGACTTGAATTCTGATGGTTAGCAAAGGAATCGAGTTAAGGTCTATAATGCTGCTAACGTTCTGCATTTGCCCTCTGTCATTTTTACTTCCGACTGCTTGGCATCTCTTCGAGTCCTTTCTCTACTGTTTGCCTTCAAACTGATCGGTCTTGACACAGCTGACAGTCTGTGAAGACTCTAAAAAGAGTTGGATTGTATATTGTTAGTTATAAAATATTTCCACATCAATGATGGTCTCTCGATCCAGCCGAGCCATGGGCTCGTGACACACATGCTCATCATGCAGCTATTTAAAGGCCTAAAAGGTTCGTTTTAAGTGACAGGGACACCAGAGTATCCAGAGAAAAACCTTCAAACATGTGCACACAATTGGTCCCCCCCCCCCTTTGGTCACCCTAGGGATGCCTGTGGTCCCCTTTACATGTTTTAAGAAAAGAGATGAATGCCTTGAGACCAGATTGCATTTATAGTAGTAAATTTCCAACAATATAATCTTTGATAATAATTATGACATGTTGTTGCATTTACTAACTTTATTACTGTGTCTTAAAATTTGTAAAGTATTTTTATATGTTACTGCGGATTCAGGTAGACCGTTTAATGCGAATAGTTGTCGCGTTAGTTTTAACAGTTGTACAATGACGTTTCTAGGCAGATTTTCGACGTTTCTAAGGCGTGGCTTCAACGTTTATTTTTAAAATTTGAACGTTGTAATTACAAGGTAATTGCTAAATAATATACTTCAAAATAAGGGTTCCGTTTTTATAACGTAGAAAAAATCATCCTAACGCAAAACTAAACCCTTACCTAACCCTAACTTATTTAAAAAATTGATATAAAAACGGAAACCTTATTTTGAAGTATATTATTTAGCAATTACCTTGTAATTACAACGTTCAAATTTTAAAAATAAACGCTGAAGCCACGCCTTAGAAACGTCGAAAATCTGCCTAGAAACGTCATCGTACAACTGTTAAAATTAACGCGACAACTATTCGCATTAAACGGTCTACCTGAATCCACAGTATAAATGTATTTTTAATTGTTAGTTTAATATTTTCGTAAAATAAGCTTTAGCAATACATTGTAATAGACCTTATGCATAATGACGTCACAAGGCTTCAGATGCCCGTGAGGAATGCTGGTTTTAGTAGTCATTGCCTGGGAAAATTTAACAATTCAAAATGGCCACTATCAAAATTATTAGAGAATTTTTAAAAGGACATGAAACAGTGTACAATTTAAGAAATCGTGGAACATTGATCCAACCGGTTTATAACAATTTATATTATCATAACTCTTGACTGATTAGTCATGTGTGGAATATAAGCTCCCACAAAACATTAAATGTGCAACAACAGTCAGACATTTTAAGGCAAATTGTTAAAAAGCTTGATGCCAGAGGACATTAAGAAAGGCTGCACTTTTAATAGATGTCTATCTTAAACTATACATACTTTTGAACTATTCCTATATTGTAGCTACATGCAGGTATCTATTAATAATTCTAATATCCTAAGGTTTTTGTATATATATAGTTGTAATAGTTAATGTCGAGCACTTTTAACATGAGCCTCTGGCTCGGAAGATTGGGCGACCACTTCTTGTGTTTTTCGACTTTAAATAAATCATTATCATTAATAAAGAAATCATTATCATTTTCCCAGGTGATGACTACAAAGACCAGCATTCCTTGCGGGCATCAAGCCTTGTGATGTCATTATGCATAAATAAGGTCTATTAGCTGGGGCATGCAAATAAAGCAATAAATTAGCAAATAGCATATTTTACCAAAATCTTTAAAAACATGTATTTATCAGTCAAAACTAACTGTTTTGATGAGAGAAATAGTTTTTAGACAACTTACAGCGAGTTTCAGAAAGTTTGGAGTGGTTTGGGGAACTTTTTGAATTTTTGAAAAATTTCCTGTGGGGAACCCTTTGGTCACCTGGGTATGCCTGTGGTCCCCCCTTTGCATTTTACCAAAATTTTTAAAACATGTTTTTATCGATCGAAAGTAGTTGTTTTGATGACAGGAAAGGATTTCGACAATATTCAGAACGTTTGGACTAGTTTGAGGGTTTTTTGAATGTTTTTGAATTTTTGAAAAATTTCCTGTGGTTCCCCCTTTGCTAAGCCTACTGGGTACCAAAATTTTACCAATATTTTTTAAAACATGTTTTCATCAGTCGAAACTAACTGTTTTGATGAGAGAAATGGTTTTTGACAATTTTCAGCGAGTTTCAGAAAGTTTGGAGTGGTTTGGGGCACTTTTTGAATTTTTGAAAAATTTCCTGTGCATGACAGGAGAGAACCAATAAAATTCAACTAACAAGAGTTTCCAATTTGAGGCCTGCATAAATCCACTTTTTATTAACTTCAGTAGCAGGCTCTATTTCAAGCATAGAGCCTGACGCCCAGGCTACCCGACCACCGGCACTGTGTTTTGTGGACCCTCAATGCCATCTTTAAAAATATGGCCCAGTCGACTGCCGGTGCTGTTCAGGTCCACAAAACACACTGTTTCCCTCTGTCTCAATAAATGAATTTAATGAATTTAATCAGCACGAATGATGTGGACGTCGTGAATTTAACACAATGAAAGCTCTCCCGCCGTTTCTGTTCAGCGGGGGATTTTCCTGTGTGGAAGTTGGCCTTTACTTTTACATGCATGTTCAATCTGTCTCTTAGTTTACTTGACATGTTCAGTTTCAGGAAATAGAGCCACGTATACTCAAACTCTCTGAAGCGGAGACTATTTTGAATTTCGAGTTAACGATTCAGTTTAATTTTTTGCTTGCCGGAATCCTTTAATAGCAAGTTTGAGTTCACAATGTTCTATTAGTTATCATGATTACTATTTTGGAGGTGGGTGCCCTGCATGGCAGGGCTGTAAATACTCGTTACTGTGTACTCGTTACATTTGAAGTAATTTTAACCTGTAATTAGTTACGTTTTTAGAAATGTAACGAAAAACGTAATTAATTACAAAAGCAAGGAACGTGTTCCTTTTCCAAGGAGCAAATTGAAAATTCCTTTTCTTATTTTGTTAAAAATAAGAAATAAAAAATACTACGTGACGACAAAAATTCAGAAAAATGGCTGAAATAATTTTCAACGAGATCACATGACATGATAGCCTACATGAAGTACTATTTATTGCGAAATTGGACACCACAATTTGTTCCGAGCGCCAAATATTGGCAAATAAAGTTACATGCTTCGATTTGCATGTCAAATTACATGCTTTGATTTGCATGTCAAATATTTTAATATATTGAAATATCATCTTGATAAATTTCGATAAATTCTTGCAAATTTCATAGTTTATACAGTTTTTATTTACAATTAACTACAGTTTAAGATATTGTCTTTAATATTATATAAAGTATAGTGCTTTATAGAGATTTCGAGCACTGATAAAAGTGATAATCTCACATGTGAGACTATATATATTCATGATAATCTCACATGTGAAAATGATCGCTTTTCAATTATCGCTTTTCTGTAAAAATTATCGTTTTTCAAAGAGTGTCCTTTATATAATAAACAGAAAAATACATGGGTGCTTGGAAATACCAGATTTATTTCTTGTGTTGAACATGATATCTTACTCGTTCACTGCGCTCACTCGCAAGATATCATGTCCAACACTCGAAATAAATCTGGTATTTCCGCGCACCCGTATATTATTCTCTATACAGGGTGTCCCAAAAAAACCCGAAAAACCATTGAAATAACGTATTGTTAAAATTTGAATGCCCCAGCACTAAGCTGAACACAAAGATGCGTAAAATATTGACAAGGGTGCATATATTAAATATTGACTTATTAAGAAATTAAAATATCTTTGTAAAGCGCACATTTTCTGCTCTTGGTAATAATTTACTTACGTCAAGCTTTTATGCACATGTGGGTTCAGCAGAGTGTACCCTGCATGGTTCCAGAGGTTAAATTTTATTATTTGCATTGCGAAGGGGAGAGGAAAAATAAACCTCTGGTTGAAAGCGGCAATTAATTCATCGAGCAGCGCCAATCAGTTTGAATTAGGGTCAGATCCTGACTCTGTTTCCTGATTGGATGATTGTATTAAAGCTCTCTGATTGATTCAAATAAAACATCTATAACAAATCAGAGAGCTTTAATAAAATCATCCAATCAGGAGACAGAGTCTGACCCTAATTCAAACTGATTGGCGCGGCTCGATGAATCAATTGCTGCTTTCAACCAGAGGTTTATTTTAAACCTCTGGAACCAGGGTAAGCAGAGTGCTGAGGCATTAGTGAGCTTAAGCAAACAACGTTTTTGACAACACGAACGGCATGAGTAACGTCAGAAGACTGGGTCAAGGGCTGTGATTGGTGAAAAATGTCAACTTTACTTCCGATCGACGTCCGTGTTGTCAAAAACGTCACTTGCTTAAGCTCGCTATTCAAATTCTAACAATACATTCATTTCATTATAATATATATAGTAACAATTTGCCGGTAAAGGAATTTGTAATTAATTCCTTTTTTCCGCTGTAATTTTTCCATTGTACTTAATTACATTTTAGAACAAGTAATTGTAATCAGAAATTTATTATATTTTAAAGCAAGTAATTGTAATTGGAATTAATTCCTTTTTCAGTGGTAATTTTGCAGCCCTGCTGCATGGGACCTTTTATATAAGAGTCCCGTTCGTACCTTAGGGACCGGTCATAAAGTATTTACTAGGGGGTGTGGAGGATATTTTTGGGGGGTACGAGAAAAAAAGAGAACCTCTGAGGGGGTACGAAAAAAACAACAGAACCTCTAGGGGGGTACCAAAATCTTAGTACTTAATAGGTACGGAAAAAATTACATTTTATAACTATTGTTGAATATTGAATGTATTTGTGCCCAGATTTAATTATTATTGTTGAATATTGAATGTATTTGTGCCCAGATTTTTTCTATAATTATTAAATCATATCACAAGGTATATGTTTTAGTCGGACTCAATGTCAGATGATAAGTAGGATTCAGTATCCGTTGAACTTTTGGAGTACAAATCTGATACACCTGAATTGTCAACGCTAGCAAGCTCTGACACCTGCATTAGAACTTGATGAACCTGATGAGGAAGTGTCACATTGAATGGAAGCAAATGTTTTATATTTGAAATAACCCGTATGAAAAGTTACAGCCTGACTGAGCGAGATTCTGGCCAGACTATCTGGCCATAAACCAATTAAAGCAGCGGTAATTGAGCGAGACACAACAAGACATTGGTTTTGTCTCGCTGCCTGTTACGAACGAGACATTTGTATCGCTTGTTTATGGCGGAGAATTTGGCCTGAATGAGCGTGACATCGCAAGACAAATTGTCTCGCTCAAACAAGACAATTGTCACGCTGCTTTTACAGCGAAACATGGACGATAATATAGCGAGGCAGAGCGAGACAAGCAACAGAAATTCCTTTGCGTGCCATGAAAATGTGAGATTATTATCATATCCGGCGAAAATTGAAAGAAACTGCATGAGCACGACAAGAGCGTTACGTTAAAAATTTAATTTGTTTTGTCTCGGATGACAAGGCGCGCAATTTGAGTTGGTTTTATTTTGCTGTACACACGCATCGCTTTCAAGCAGCAAACCATACACGGTCGGTCGAACAAGGGAAAAGTTGCGGATTTTCAACAATGATCATCGTTTTATATTGCACTGTATTCTCGGTAATTCTTCAGCCAGGCGACGTTGAAGTCAAATGATAGTGTCCCTCGCAAAGTTTCTGTGCGACTTTGAGATTCAAGGCGTTGGCAATATATGCATTGGAGACAGTCTTCAAGTTTCTTCTAAATGTAAGTAATTAATCTCAACGGTTACGTACCTGTTCTGTACAGTTTTGCGTGTGATACCGCAATACATAATTTACTTTAAATGTAATTATTAAGGCCCACACAGACCGAACGCGATTCGACAACGCGACGCGAATTTTCAGATTTTAAAAACAAATAAAACCGTCAACAGATAAAAATTTTACAAGATATGCAGACCAAATAGCTAAAATTGCTTAAGTGGTTAAGAATATTTAAAAAGCATGGAAAAATAGTAAAGGTAAATGTCATTGAAAATTCGCGTTGCCGAATCGCGTCCGGTCTGTTTGGGGCTTTACGCTTTCAAAACCATGCATTGCGAACAATCTTTTTATAGGTATAAAAACTTTAGATGTTTATACGTTTTAACAGAAATTTGCTGGAATAGAAAATTAAGGCCTACAAAATATTCAAGGCCGAAATTAAAATCCGATTTTCATATTTTCATATATAATGCAATGGCGAAATTAAGTCTGAAACCACGGCCCGAATAGTGACTTAGGCCTAGCTTTCAACCCTGTTGTCTTTAATATTTTAGCTGCCGCTTGCGGACAAATTGACCGTTTACATGAGTCGCTCGCGACGTCATCTCAAAGCCGCAGCTTATTTTCGCCCATATAAATGCCCCTAATGTCAAGGTATATTAGTTAAAACAAGGCTTTTAGTATAAGCAAAAGCTCGTTGCAATAGCGTGATGTTCTTTCAATCAAGTGGTTTTATCTTGAAAGTTGAAAGATAAAAGTAATTTAATCGCTGTTGACGGAAAAGCAAAATATGCATAAAAATACTTGAACAAAAGCTAACTTTACAAATGCATTTTATCCAAAAGTTTGAAGTGTAAACTATTGTCAATGATTTTTAAATTACTAAATTTTTAAAAACTTGCTTTATATTTTTGACCTGATTTAATAGCATTGCGTGCTATCTTGGTATGTGTGTATTGATATGTGTTATTTTACTTGTCTGCGTAAATGCGATTGCGTTTCTTAATTTCCAGCCTAAATGTGGAGCCATAATACAGCCAAAATCAGGCCAGACAAAATTATGGCCTGAAAAATGTATGGCCCAGTCCCGGTGAAATTTGGTTGAAAATGTCACGTTTGAGACACGCCGTGTATCGCTGGTGTATCGTCACGCTCATTATCGCTCATGTCTCGCCCAATGTCTCGCTCGAAAATGTCACGTTTGAGACACGCCGTGTATCGTCACACTCATTATTGCTCGTGTCTCGCTCAATTTTATGGCCCGAATATCGCTCATGTCACGCCATGATTTTCAGTACGGGAAACCCCAAACAAATTTTTCTGTTTTGATCGTACCCTCAGCCCATCGCTAGTATGTCAGAATCAGAAAAAAACTGGTAACGAATTGGAGACTGCGGAAAATGTTGAGGATATGGTTACCACCAGTGGCGTAGGTGGCGAAATTTGACTAGTCCTGCTCTAAGACCCACCCATTCTAGGGGGGTCCGGGGGCATGCTCCCCCGGGAAATTTTGAATTTTAGAAGTCTGGAATGGCCATTTCCTGCGATTTCACGGTGAAATACTCCAAAGGGATCATCAAAAAATTGCGTGATTAGCGGAAAATATTTGATAATTTTTTTAGAAAAAATATTTGCAACTTTTTGAAACCAAGCATTTTTTTTATCATATTTCACTATATATTTTCAACTTAACTGAAAATATAATGTAGGAGGTAAAGACGAAAATATCATCACTTGATCAACACATAATCCAACCTCACATAATCAACAATTGCGTAACTATTTATATACTGTTGAACACGGCGTTTTATACACTATAACGCTACGGCTAGCATTCGTTAAAGAATCACTACGTTTGTTAGTGTTATAAAACTTTATATAATGGAGTGGTATCAACTACAGATCACTACGCCTGGCACTCTGAATGTAATTCAGTACGCTATGGTATTAATATAGCTAGCGTTTAATATAGTCTATGCGGCCAAATATCTATATAAACAGTGTGAATTGGTACAGTATATCATTTTTAAAATTAAACTCAATATAAGTGCTCGTTTCAAATGCAGAAAGCAGATGAACTGGCAGTAAATATTACGTTCTTACTTTATATTAATACGACGTACAGGCTTCCCAAATGAAGTTTGTATTCCCCATTATATTGTATTATAAAAATACACAATCATCAGTTGAGTCTGTTCACATGCATTTCGTGAGCTAAAATATCTTAGCAGAAGCCAGAAATTATATCAAAATCACATTGGGCTTCCTGACACTCGTTGATTTCAATATTCATCACATGAGTAATCTCAACAGAATTAGTAAAAAGTGGGTTTAGTCACGCGGAAAGCTCGCAAGTAAAGACAATACAAGGCCAAGTCCTGCCATTTCGAGAGAGCAGGACTTCGCATTTGTAAACAGTCGATTTGAGCATGCGCAGACCTAATTATCCAATCAGAAACCAAGATTTCTTGTATGAATTTACTATGAAATTTGGAAATGGCAGGACTGAAATACGAGTCGCGTGTAAATCAATGTAGAGTTGCAGTTGCTAGGTAACAGACACGGCAAGCTATAAAATTGCGTAAATATAACAGAATGCGAAAAACTTTTTAATTAAAAATTAATAACGAAAAAGACGAGAAAATGAGACAAAATAACAACTGATAATGATAAATTTTTAAAGCTTCAAGATAAATAAAGCAATGTTTTAGTAAGGAAATTTTGGGAAATTTTTAGTCCTGCTGGGCAGGACATGCACTGGTTACCACTACAAGAAGTGGGAGAGTTATCACAAACTGGAGAGTTTCGAAATATAGATAAACACAAGACAAATGTTAAAACAGAATTGATGATAGAACGGGGGGTATGAAAATTTTCACTTACATTGAAGGGGGTTACGAAAATTTTTCCATAGGTTTTTGGGAGGGTATGGCAACCCTCGAAATTCGCCTCAGCACTCGGCAATTGCAGACGCAAATGCCGAGGCAAGTTACGATTTTTCATAGCAAAAAAATTCCGAGGCAATTCCACCCGTTGTACCTTAAATTACAAACTACAGCGTCTGTTTGTTTTTTTTGCTTAAATTTACAAACTACAGTGTTCGTTTTTTGCATCACTTCTTTGTTCGAATTGTTGTCATCGACGTCGGGTGAACAACAGAAGATTTCATTCATAGCTACTTTACAAAATACCTAAATTTGAGCTTTTCAGCGTCAGCCTCGGCTGAAATTAAGAACAATCTTGATGGTTTAAAGACGGCATGTCGAGAAACTTTGTTTTATCTTTTAGACTGTCGCGTGATTACCGTCAAGTTTATTCTTTCATACAATTTGTTGTTAATTACCACTAAACTTTTTAAAAACATTTTGAATCAGGAACTGCCGACATGAATGCCGAAGTAATTGCCGAAGGAATTTAAGGTGATTTCATTGCGTGCCTCGGCAAAAAAAAATGCCGAGGCATTGCCAAGGCAAACTCGAAAATTATCAAAAGACTTCGGCAATTATTTGCCGAGGCAAAAATAGTTGAATTTCGAGGGTTGTATGGAAATATGTACTTGAAATTTAATTTATCCTCCACCCCCCTCTAGTAATTACTTTATGACCGGTCCCTTACCTTTTTGGATCTACATTTGATATCTAACTTAATAAATATTTGTTCTGTTATATTCTTTTGTCTGTTAAAAATTGTGAATATCGATCCAAATAAAATTTGTTAAAAAAAAAAGGTGATAATTGATGCTTACCACGTGCACGTGCTTCGGGTCGGCGACTTATCAGTAAACTTTGTTAACTTTCCTGTCCAATTGTTGTCCTGAAACGGCAGATAAAACAACTATGAGTTATATCAATCAAAGCTGGGGTATTTCTGAACATTATTGCAAGAAAATTTGGGAGAAATACGAATGGAAAAAGCGACTATTTTAAAGCGAGAACGAAGCGCTTGAATGGGTGGCGAAGAGTATAAAATTCAATGAATTTGCAGCACATGTTTCAAAACACGGCTAGAACTTGACAACAGTGCACAAACGTTAAAAAATAGCTAAACTTAATACTAACCTATCCCTTTGCATGGCATAACTATTTTATTTCGACAAAGTTTCATAAAAATTATGCTCGATATGTACGGTTCTTCTTCGATACGACCACAAGAGGCCCAGGCTCGATTTGCCCGCGCCCGCCTGTGCCTTCCTTATAACGAGGGAAGGAAGGAAACATTGAGACCAAAATAGCCCAGACTGGCATATGTCACACGAAACTATCCTCGATTTTTCGCCTTTAATGCATTTCCTTCACAATTAATCGATATCCCCTGCAAGAATGATACAGTATAACTCTCAAAACAACGATGCTTTAATCAAAGAGCTTAAATTCGCTCTGAAATCCGTGAGGGAATAACAAAATTCGCCCAAAATATATCCGCGTGCCGGGTTTGCTGGACAAAAAGCGGAAGTCGTTGAACAACTCAAAATACACTCAACCCTGATTGGACAACGAAAATCAACAAACATTTCAAATTTCTCTCCACTGGCACTGGGAAGGGGGACAGTACTTGGAACCAGCCTCGTACCCAGGCGCAAATAACGTACTAAAAATTAGCAACACTACAGTGTTTTTACATAGATCAGTGGCTAAGAGAGCGAGCGCGCGGGGGTGCTAGGTCAACACACGACGGGATTCTGCTGCGCCTGGCAGAAAATGTAAATATGATTCTTCAGAAATACGATATCTGAAGAATCGAACCATTCAGCTTTTTACTCGTGCCTTTTCAATTATTTTTGGCGTTTTTGGTGCTGAATATTATATTTATATGTGCTTATGGGTGACCTGGAACAATCGCTGAAGGAATTATCAAGAAATGAGTGTTAGAGGTGAGTGTTTGTATTGGGCCATTCCATTTAATATGTGCACCCCCCCTATTGAGGGGTCCTTAAAAGTTTTACCCCCTTAGGAAATTGAACATCAAAGTGCCGACACATTCCCCCCCTTGGAAATTGGCCTATGTTGTTCGAAGATCAAAGGGACCGACTGATTTACCCCCTCGGAAATTACCAATATTAACCCCTCCCTCCCCATAGGATTTCCAGACCCCTCAATAGGGGGGGGGGTGCACATATTAAATGGAATGGCCCATTGGTTTGCCTAATTGCCTTGAGATTTCATTATTCTCTGTATATTATGTGTGCATCATTGTATAAATCTTGGTCAAGATGACTACAAGAAATAGGACAGGTTTCATATTTTAAAAGAATTTGTAAGCTGCCCACAAAAGGAGAAAGAATAATTTCAACCAGGGATGCACCTTTAATAATTTAACACCAGAATCAAAAGCCCATGTCGAGTTCCAGCCAAAGAGATTTGCTGATCAAATGTCTTTATACTAATTTAATATACTATACAATTCTAAAAGTTGTAAATACTTGAATAGTTTATTTTCAGCAAACAATCACTGAATTGATACAGAACCCAGTAGTGCTGTCACTACTATGACTACTGCTTGATACATGTATATTAAATTTGCCATGAAGTGATTTGAATATTTTTGTTTTTCAGTGTATTGTGTGCAGTTTGACATTTGTCACTGATGTTCTTGAATTCCAAAAGATTTTCAACTACATGTGATATGAATATAGATATAATATTATATTTGCAACCCATGAAATGTATATTTTCTCTGTAGCTGGTACAGTTCAACATGGCACAATTTGATTGAGTAAAAGACTTTCTGAGGGTGCCTCTGGCAGCCACCTTATGGAGGGTGAGTTAGAGGCTAATCCCAAGCCACCCGTCAACATTCCCTCCATAGAAAACTGGAGTTCCCGGAGAAAACCCACAACTTTTGTCAGAGTGTTGACAGCATGACTCTTTTCACATTTAAGTGTCGTTGAAGTGGTGAGAATTGAACCAACAATCTCAGATGTAAAAAGTCCTCGCTCTGACAATTGCACTACCAAAGTCGGTGGCACAATCAGCACGCCACCACAGCCCCAGTAGGGTGCAGTGGAACTTGATGGGCTAAGCTGTTAATTTGTGCCAATGTACCTAGCTTGTTGAGAAGTTCAGCTGTGGGTGAGTGCATGGGTCTATAAATAAAAACCCACAGGAGTATTAAATTTGCATAAATATTGCTAGTTCTAGCTAGATTCCTTTGAATGTAAATACTAGTACTTTATGTTATGAGCAAAATAAATAAAATTCTCAAGACTTTAAATGTTACAGGGGTTGTTGTTTGCATAGCATGTTGATGAGGTATATCTCATTCAGTCAAGTTGTGTAAAACATATGCCCGTTCTAACTTGGCTGAACCAATGACCATATACAGAATTTAGGAACAAGCACAGAAACAACTGGGATAGGTCTTGTTGTTGTCCAAGCACTTTACTGGGACCTACCCTGAGTGACCTGAAATGGTTTCAGGTGAAGAATTTGGGGTGGCTAACCCTGTAGTATATACATGTTTGGATTGTTTAATCCCGAGACCAATTTCCATGACAACAGGGTAAATCATGTAATGTGTGTATATTTAATGTTGACACATATTTTCAGTGAGACCATCAGATGTTTGCCACATATTTTTCAAATATCGTTGATTATTAACAACATGCATCTGAAATCAGCCCAACAAATTGCAATATGCAACCATACCATTAAATTGTCCAGTTTTTTAGACACTGTCCTGTAACTAGGTGTCAAATGCATTATATGTGGCCACAGGTAAGTCCAGAGTCTACCCCACTCCTTAGTGTAAACATGGTAGATTTTGGCAATCAAGGGCAATAGCCTTTATAGGTCAAATGCAAGGTGAAGAACAAAATACACATCAAAGTATAAAACACTGGGTTAGTTTGTGCTTTAGCCTTTAAACTTACTGTCAGCCAGTTACAACAATAGCTAAATGGCCAAAACAGGTTTTATATTATTAAATTTATTAAATGTTTATATTTTCACTGATATTTTGCATACTATAAAGCAGTCATGCATGTTTAATATAGGCCTTTTTATTGGTAAAATTTTAGAAACTAAGAAACCTACAATAAAATATTTTCTAGTTATAAATTTTCTCCTCTGAGGTAAAAGGTATCATCAGTACAAATAAATAGTAATTTCAACATTCCATATAAATTCAATGTATTATTAAAATATTTATATTAAAATTAAAAGATTCAAGAATAAGACAGTTTCTTTGACTTTGCTTGGTCAGTTTCTCTTTCAAACCGCAAAAAGGCAGTATATTTCATGATGTGCATCCAACACCAGACATATATTTTCAACCATTTGAAATAAATCGTTATTTTTTTTAGAATGTTCAATAATCTCGAGTTCTCTCATGACCAGCAGACTTTCTAATTTCGAGAGGCTGGTCTCCTGAGGAGACATTTAATTAAAATACCGTTTCCGAGGAAAAATCCTCATTATCAACGCAGTGATCATTTGGACATAAAATCTTTCCCAAATGTACCACTGGTTAGGAAAGCCTTTCAATTTCATTTATACAGTACAGCAATTTCCTTCTTTACATTCTCATGTCCGCCATGTTTGTTACAAATTCTGCCAGGTGCCTCGCTTCCCAAGTCCTCCCCAAGCAACCCCGCGCGCTCGCTCAGCCACTGATCTATATAAAAAAACTGTAGTGTTGCTGTTTTTTAGTACGTTATTTGCGCCTGGGTACGAGGCTGGAGCCCGTACACTTGTACGCACGCGCATAATTCCGAACTCATGGCTAGATGGCTCCAGTGATAAATACAGTTCAGTTTCAAAATGGCGGCTTCTCACTGAGTAATCTATATATATATATATATATATATATATATATATATATATATATATATATATATATATATATATATATATATATATATATATATATATATATATATATATATATATATATATATATATATATATATATACTCTACACTGCTGAAAGACAACCCTTTGTCGTTGATAATTGCATTCTAATTGAAAAATATTGAGTATTATTTTTATATTATTTAAAAATTTAAAAAGGTAGCTTTTCGTAAAAACTAGAAAATAAAGCTAATTACGCCAACGCTTTTCATTGCACTGAAACACGTTGGTCAAACAAGGGGGAATTTCGTTCTCGACCAATCAGCGCTTTTGTTTACATTTTTGCCCTAAGCCAATCAGAATGCGTAAAACGCTTCATCACATGAAATTTGTAAACAAACATATGGGGTTACTTCAGAGCTTTTCTGCAAGCGTTTTTTTTTGTTTTTGCCATGAAATTCATATATGTTGTTCTTAAAAGGATTCTCCTCAACTTCCTCGTGGCGATTTTTGATTAATTGCGTGATTGCGAAGATATGGGTCTTCAAACTTTGCGTTGCGCAGGCTTAAATACCACCCCTCGAATTTGTAGGTTCCGAACGGATTAGCGTTTTTAAAAGTCTTTCAAATCGAGGTTTGAGACGTTTTATTTTTTAAAAGATACTTTTATCTTCATATTTTCACATTAACTTATTAATATCCTGTGTAACAAGTAAACAGGACATTTCCGGGCCGGGACAAGTTGACATGTCGATTTCTTGCCAAACAGCGTGGCGATCAATATGGCGAATATCTAAATACAGGGAATTTTTAAAATTTTGTTGGTATAAATGGGATAAAAAAGCTCATCAAATATTTGGACTATGGACCTTCAAACTTATGCCAAGTATTTATTTGATTGATTAGCTCAATAACTGTTTTTTGGCTCGTTTTTCGTCGATTTCGACATTTAGTCGAGCTTAGTCGACTTCAAAATAATGTGTCAACATTGCGTGTTGCAGCCTGTGGATATGAATATTTTCGTTTGTTTGACCATAACACTTTTCTTCACTGTTTTTAATCCTTAAATGACAATATATTCATTGGTCTCAGAGTCCTAAACTTAAGGAAGATGGATGACTTTGTGGGTTTGAATCGGGTTTGAATCTAACCTACATAATAACGTTAAACGCAAAAAGCTAAATATAAAGACCTAATTGAAGATCAAAGGGGTCACTTTAGTTCTGTTAAATTTGTAAACTTATCAATGAGCTCTCTCGGTGTGTTTGACAAAGAATGCTTCACCTTTTTAGAAATGTTAGACACTATAGGAATGGATAAAAAGCAGCAACATTACTGCATAAAAAAGATGACGTCTTATGCCATTAGAGCGACGTACTATATTTTTTGCTGTCGAAACAAAGAGTGGACAAACCCTGAATTGTTAAACATTTAAATTAATAACTACATATAACAATATATATAATCATATACCCATTTTATTCTTGTTTTTACTGTAAATAGTATATATGTAGTATTCTGTGATTCATGTAGCCAATTGTAAATTACCTAAGTCAGTAGTGAGATTTACAACTGTTATATATACGTGAAAAATTCAATCAAGTTTTCATTATTATTATTATTATTATTATTATTATTATTTACATATTTTGCTGTAGAAATAAAGAATGGACAAATCCCGAACTAATGAACATTTAAAGTAACTATTTCTATAAATAATTAAAAACTTTTGTATATAAAACTATAACAATGTATCAGTGATTCAAGTAGTCAATTGTAGGTTACCTCAAGAAGTGAGATTTACAATTGTATATATCTATAAATGTTCTATTAATAAAGTTTTCATTATTATTATTATTATTATTATTATTATTATTATTATTATTATTATTATTATTATTATTATTATTATTATTATTATTATTATTATTATTATTATTATTATTATTATTATTATTATTATTATTATTATTATTATTATTATTATTTCATTGCTAATAACCTTCCATCAGAACATATTCGGACCACTTATGCTGATTTGTCATCATTCTCTAATCCTTCTACAATCACTGGTGATGATTTACTAATTTTGACGAAAGACAATTATCTGTATATTCTGGAATTAACTGTTGGATATGACACTAACCTCAGAAATAATGTTAACAGGAAATACTCCAAGTATAAAGATATGATTATGGAACAAAAGAAAAATTATCATGCGGTAAACTTCATCAACCTTTCGATTAGTGCACTTGGTGTGTTTGACAAGGAATCTTCTGGTTTTATA